CCAGGCCTGGTGGCTCACATCTGTAATCTCAGCACTTTGGGAGGCCAAGGCAGGAGGATCACTTGAGTTCAAGAGCTTAAGACCAGCCTAGGGAACGTGGCAAGACCCCATCTCTACCAAAAAAAAAAAAAAAATTAGCCAGGCATAGTGACATGTACCTGCAATCTCAGTTACTTGGGAGGCTGAAGTGGGAGGGTGCTTTGACCCTGGGAGGCAGAGGTTGCAGTTGGCCAAGATCACACTATTGCATTCCAGCCTAGATGAGAGAGCCAGACCCTGTCTCAGTATGTACGTGTGTGTGTGTGTAGTTACTTAATTTTATGCATTTATTTCATTTTCTTGTATGTATGTATTCTTGATTCTTTGCCGTGTTACTGTGCTTCCATCTGGGATTATTTTCTTTCTTCATAGCACCTTTCTTTTAGTGTAAGTATATTGGTAATGAATGTTCTGTTTTTTTCTGAAAGCATTTTTAGAAAGTTTGTCTTAATTTTAAAAGGATAGTTTTATTGGGCATAGAATTCCAGGTGGCAGTTTTTTTCTTTCAGCATTTTAAATATATCATTTTATTGCCTTCTGACTCCATTGTTTCTATTTTACTTATTTATTTATTTATTTATGAGACAGAGTCTCACTCTGTCACCCAGGCTGGAGTGCAGTGACATGATCTTGGCTCACTGCAACTTCTGCCTTCTAAGTTCAAGTGATTCCTCTGCCTCAGCCTTCCTAGTAGCTGGGACTACAGGAGCGTGCCACCATGCCTGGCTAATTTTTGTGTTTTTTGTAGAGATAGGGTTTTACCATGTTGGCCAGGCTGGTCTAGAACTCCTGACCTCAGGTGATCTGCCTGCCTTGGCCTCCCAGAGTGCTGGGATTACAGGTATGAGCCACTACACCCAGCGCTCTATTGTTTTTATTAGAGAAGCAGTATGTTTGGTTTTTAGCAGTTTTCAGTAAGATGGTTCAGACATGGTTTTCTTGGTATTTTAAGATGTTTGAGGTCCACAGATCCTCTAGAGTCTGTAGCTTGACATCTTCTGTCAGGTTTGGAATATCTCTTCTGATACTGCTTCCATCTCATTCTTTCAGTTCCCTCTGGGATTCTAGATAACTGTATATTAGATCTTTCTTTGCATCTCATATGTCTCTCATGCTCTTTTCTGTATTTTATATATATATATATATTTTTTTTTGTGCTCCATCTACATATTTTCTCTTGACTTTTTTCTAGTTGAATTAATGTTCAGTCTGCTATTAAAAGCATCTGGCATATTGTTTTATATATTTTTTAGTTCTCAATTTTCAATTTAATTCTTTTTTGTTTTCATAGATTCTAGTTCCCTGGTGAAATTCTCATCTTGTCCTCTGTTTTCCTGAACATATTACTCACAATTATTTGAAGTCTGTGTGTGGTAATTAACAACGTCTGGATCCCTGGATCCAGATCTTTCTCTTTTTTTGGAGAGAGAGTCTTGATCTGTCACCCAGGCTGGACTGCAGTGGCACAGTCTCAGCTCACTGCAACCTCTGCCTCACAGGTTCAAGTGTTCAAGCAATTCTTGTGCCTCAGCCTCCCTCCTGAGTAGCTGGGATTACATATGTGTGCCACCACGCCTAGCTGTGTTTTTTTGTGTTTTTGTAGAGACAGGTTTTGTCATGTTGGCCAGGTATGTCTGAAACTCTTGGCATCAAGTGATCTGCCCACCTCAGCCTCCCAAAATGCCGGGATTACAGGTGTGAGCCACCACGCCTACCTCCTATTAGAACTTTTCCTGTTGTCCTCTTTTTCTCTTGATTTTCAGTCATTTGGTCCTGTCTCCTAGCATTCCTAGTCATTTAAAAAATGAATGTCAAACGTCATATATGGGAAATAATAGAGGCTCTTTATGATGATATTATTCTCTAGAGAGGATTTGGTTTTCTCCTGTTGGTAGCTAAAAGTAAGAGTAGATGACATTGTTCCAAATGGGCTTGAGATGATCTGTGGCTTTATTTTATGCTTCTCAAAGGCTGGTTTAAATCTAGTTTCCACTTCAAGAGTATTGTATTTCAGAGGTACCAGATGGACTCCTAGGTTATGTGTCAGGGCCTCTCCTTCTTGGCATGTCCTGGACGCTTAATTTTTCTGTGAGACTGCTAAAAGTTCTGAACTCAGAGGGCAGAGGTTGCAGTGAGCCGAGATTGCAACATTGCATGCCAGCCTGGGCAACGAGAGTGAAACTCAGTCTCAAAAATAAATAAATAAATAAATAAATAAATAAATAAAGGCACTTTGCCTCCACATGTTAGGGTTCAGTAAATACCCTGAGGGCAAAAGCAGTATAGCATGTGCTTTTCTGTGATTTTTTTTTTTTTTTCTGGCATTTTAGCCCCTCAAATCTTGCCTGTCTTGGTAGCTGTGAACTCTAATTTCTGTCACTGTGAGGTTTCCAAAAGCTCTGGTTTGAAGCTAGTTGCTCCAACAGAAAAAAGTATTGGAGAATGTCAGGCTTAACTCTGCATTTTCTTTTTCTCTTGTAGTTTGGCCTATCATTTCTTAGTTGCTTTATTTATTTGTTTTTATGTCCAGTTTTTATTGCCAGGAGAATTGGCCTGATGAAAGCTATTCTATAATAATTGGTAATGGATACCTCTACTTATTAATTCATTTTTAAATAATAATTTTTAATAAAACAATATTAAACAATTTTAAGCATATGTTAATCACTGCAGTGAACAAAACATATGAGGATTCTGCCCTCATGCAGCTTATATTGTAGGGAGGAGAAGTACCTTTATTTAAAATTGTGATAGGAGACATACAGTGTTATTAACTTATTATAGCGGTAGCTGGCTTAGTTAGGGTGGGGGACAGTCAAGGACAGCTACTTTGAGGAAGTGATATTTGAGCAGAGCTCTGAAGGATGAGTAGAATTAACTTAGGGAAAAGTAGTGGGTTGTTAGAACTATGTATGTTTTAGAGACCTTGAAGGGAAAAGAAATATGGCAGGTTTAAAGCATCAAAGAAGCTTGGTCTGATGGGCAAGGGCTAAACTGTGGCAAGCTTTATAAGTCATATTAAGGATTTTCTTACCTTTTTTAATCTTTTTCTTCCAATTCTGTTCTGATCGTTGGTCTGACTCTAGTATACGTTCTCTTCAGTGTCTCTGTTCCCAAGACAGAGATATTTATTTATCTGATTATTTATTCTATGGAAATATATTAGGTACATTTTATAGACAAGGTTCTAAATTAGGTACCAAGGTTAATTAAAGATGATGTGGAACACTGTCTTTAGGTTTATACAAACCTGAATTTAAATATTAGTTGTCTTATTAACTGTGTTTCTTTAGAGCAGTTATTTAATATCTCTGAACCTAAATTTTCTCTCTGGTTAAATCCTAACAATAAAAGGTAATAGAAGGATTAAAAGAGCTAATCGAGGCCAGGTGCAGTGGCACACGCCTGTAATCCCAGCACTTTGGGAGGCTGAGGTGGACAGATCACTTGAGATCAGGAGTTTAAGACCAACATGGGGAAACCCTGTCTCTACTAAACTGCAAAAATTAGCTGGGTGTGATGGCATGCAGCCAGCTACTTGGTATTACATGGTAATCCCAGCTACTTGGGAGGCCAAGGCAGGAGAATTGCTTAAACCCTGGAGGTGGAGGTTACAGTGAGCTGAGATAATGCCACAGTATTCCAGCCTGGGTGACACAGTAAGACTCTGTCTCAAAAAAATAAAACAAAAACCCAACTAATTGATAAATGTGCCCAGTCAATGCTGGTGGTGGTTATTACTATTATTATATAACTATAAAACACAAATTCTACTTTCAGGGTATCTAAGATCTATGGGATTGTGGCATACACAAATAGTTGAAATATAACAAATAATATAAGAAATGAAAAATATTTGTGATTCAGAGGGAAGAGGCATTACATTCAGACTTAGGGGTTAAGACTAATGATGAAAGTTATGTATGCTGGAGTAGGAACTAGCTTGTCATTAAAACAATTTAGTTTGACATATGACTATCTCAGTCATAAACCTTTACATTTTATCAGGCTAACAACCAAACTTTTGATTTGTCCCCTGCAACCTGTTCCTCCTTCTGTCTTCTGTTTCTCACAGTAAATGGCAACTCTATTCTTCTGATTGCTCAGGCCAGCAATCTTAGAGTCATCTTTGACTCTCACTCTGTATTTCCAATTCATTAACCAAATCCTGTTAGTTCCACCTGTAAGAACTGCAGAGGTCTTGGAAAATAACTTTGCAGAGGTCTTGGAAAATGACTGTGGATTATTGTAAACTTAGTTATTTGTCAGTTTCTGTTGCAGCTAGTCTTCATATGTGGTTTCTCCTAGAGCTGGGGGCACAAACAGGAAGTGGATCATCTCCCTGACATATGTCCACTGTTGTCAGTCTGGTCCAAGCCATTGTCACCTCTCATCTGGATTAATTGAATAGCTTTCTAACTGGTTCCCTGCTTTATGATCTGTTTACAATAGCCAAGGTCATCCTTAAAAAACATAAATCTCATTATTACTCCTCTCAGCACCCTTTAGTAGCTTTCTCCCTATTAGGAACAGAAGCCCAAGTAGTTGCAATGGCCTCTGAAACTTCCTGAAGCATTCAGCTTTCTTTCCAACCTCATTTTCTCCCCTCCCTTTAGTCAATTGTAGCCACATCATCTCCTTGTTATTCCTTTAACATTGCAACCTCCACCTCCTGGATTGAAGGACCTATACACTTGCCTCAGGAGCTGTACACTTGTTCCTTCCACCTGGAATGCTCTCTCCCAGCTATGTACTTGAGCTTGCCCTCTTACTCCTCAACTGCCTTCAGATCTGTTTGCTCAAATGTAATCTAACAAATGAAGCATTCCCTTAACAATTTATTTAGAAGAGCTGCCTATTTTCTACCCTGTTCCCGAATCCCAACACTTTCTTTTCCCCAATCACACTTGATATTTCTTTATATGTCTCAACATATATTTGCTTCTTTATTATATTGAGAATTTCCCCAAATAAAATGCAACTACTGTGAGAGTAGAGACTTTGTGTCATTCTCTTCTATAGAGATATAGCATGTTTTCCAGTTCAAATCAGTGTTTCTTTACAAAGTTCATTTAAAAATAATTCTAAAACTAAATGAAAAAGCGACACTTAGATGCTTTCCTCTGACAGAGGAGGAAATACTAGTTTTTTGAGAAATGCTTTTTGATAAGATTTAGAAATGTGAGTTGCTTGATAGTTCAGATAGGTGAGTTAATTGGGTAAAATGCCATACATAAAGGGCAAGTGTATATGGTTCCATCGCTCCTTGATCATGGAGAGGTCTTTTTAGCCACCTTTTTGAATCTTGTGGCAATTTTTAAGAAAATAGACTTTATTTTTTAAGAGCAGTTTTAGGTTCACAGTAAAATTGAGCATAAGGTACAGAGAGTTCCCATATTCTTTCTGCCCCAATATAGGCACAGCCTTCCCACTATCAACTTCCAGTACACATCTTTATTACCCAAAGTCCAGAGTTTACTTCAGGGATAACTCTTGGTGGTATACATTCTCTGAATTTGGACAAACATGTAATGACATGGTCTGCCATTATAATGTAGTACGGAATAATTTCACTGCCCTAAAAATCTGTGCTCTGCCTGTTTATTTTTCCCAAACCCCTTACTCCTGGCAATCACAGGTCCTTTTACTGTCAGCATAGTTTTAGTTTTCCAAAATGTCATATGGTGGGGATGATACAGTATGTAGCCTCTTCAAATTGACTTTTTTCACTTAGCAATATGCACTTAAGGTTCCTCCATGTCTTTTCATGGCGTGAAGCCTTATTTTTTTAGCACTGAATAATATTCCATTTTTCTGAATATACCACAGTTTATTCACCTACTGAAGGACATCTTGGTTGCTTCTAAGTTTTGGTAATTTTGAATAAAGCTGTTGTAAACAACCGTGTGCAGGCTTTTGTGTGGACATAAGTTTTTCACTCATTTGGATAAATACCAAGGAACGTAATTGCTGGATTGTATGTGAAGAGTGTGTGTAGTTTTGTAAGCAACTGTCAAATGGTTTTCCAAGGTGGCTGTACCATTTTGCATTCCCATCAACAATTAATAAGGGGTTCCTGTTGCTGGAAATGCTTCTCAGGATTTGGTGTTGTCAGTGTTTTGGATTTTGACCATTCTAGTGAGTGTGTAATGATATCTGATTGTTTTAATTTGCAGTTCTCTCATGACATATGATAATTTCTTTTCACAGGCTCTTTTATCATCTGTATTTCTTCTTTAATGAAATATGTTCAAGTCTTTGCCAATTTTTAAATCAAGTTGTTAGTTTTATTGTTAAGTTTTAAGAATTTGTGTGTGTG